ACACGGAGAGCAAGCAACCATATGAATGATATGTACAGCAAAAGAGCTGGTCAGAATTCTCTGTCGAAGAACCAATAAACGCTTCTCATTGATCACTGAACTGGTGGACGATATCCAGGCATCATCTGTGAAGCAGTTAGCAGGTTCTTCTCCACCTCAATGAACATTGCGACTAACCCTATAAATATACTATGGGCTACACTAAACTTGCTATTGCTCTCCGCAATATTCACCAAGCAATAAATTCTATTCAACCGGGGCTGATAGACAAGTCCTACCATGGTTTCTTTGACAAGTGATCGTACATATTCTGGTAGGTGTTTTACCTGAACTACATACCAGGCTCCATTGACTCAAAATATGCCATATTAATTCTATTCTTGGGCATGCAGAAAGCATTCGATCGGGTGCCTCACAAAGCGTTACTGATTAAAATAGCTTTCTTTGAAGTCTAGAACACATTAATCAGTTGGATATTAGCATACATGAACGGTCGCGCTCAAATAGTCCCGTTAGGCGACCACTGGTCTTCCCCGCGTCCAGTTACCAGCAGGGTTAAACAAGAATGTGTGCTCGGTACATTGATTGCTCTTGTGTCAGTGATAGCAGTTTGGTTATCAGACATGGCGTGCCGTTTTCATGCACCGATGATATCAAAATTGTCCACAAGTACCGATGAGTTGAGTTTCCGAATGTACTACCACTCATTCAAGAAGACATTCATTCGCTTGAGACAAGTGGATGATGACGTTCTAAACACAAAAGTCAAGCGTCATATGTCGCGGTTGTTTGATACCCAAAGTATCTATCACACGTAACAGCTAACGGATCTGTGTACAACGGTCTACCCGTGACCTCGGAATCAGATATTCTCTGAACAGATATGTTCTTTGAACAGAGTGAGTACCAAATAGGACCAGCCAGACAATCCTTCGCTAACATTTCTCATAACATGCATACAATCACAGCGACAGTTGAACTATTTAAAGTGCTTAATCATCCCATCCTGGAGTAACGCAGCATATTCTGAGGCAAGATGAAAAAGTCAAACAGAACATCGATAGAAAGCCTTCAACGGTCATGTACTAAGCACGCATTGGGGAATAATTCTATCATAAACTCTCAGGAGCGACGCCACCAACTCCATCTCGATCCGCTTTGGCTACGAATACTAAAAGGTAACATGAGACTGATGCACAATCTGATTCATGGCAATACTTATTGCAATCGATCCACACTGATAGTGCAGCACAATTAAACGCGGGACCTAGGTAACAAAGACCTTACCCTGATTATATCAAGATGCAGGACAAATTTGCGGTCTAACTTTCGTCTCACCAAATATGCTTCACTGTAGAATTAGCTGCCATTCATCATCAGGTTGTGTGAGACTGCAAATTTTTCCCGAGTAAGTTGGAAGGCTACCTCGACCTGGACACCATAATGTCGCTTTGTTCGTAGGGAAGATCACTTGACCATCCATACAATGAAAGCCAAAATAACGTCTAATGGGCGTAATACCACCACTTTACGCAAGGTAATTAGCCCTAAGTGTTTATAAAATACTCAAACTGCCAATTTGCCTCCTAAGATCGCAAAGGGAAACATATGGGGCAAATACCTTGCCAGAAATACAACCAACTCTAAGAAGATAATTTGATATCGCTCATGCAAGAGCATGCCATCATCTGTGCGTCTATGTTCCGTGGCAAATATTGTCACTGCTTTTCACTTGATGAGAAATATGCCCATTAATATTATTATTACTATTATTATTATGCGGTATATTGTTTCGACCAGAGGCACTACTAACCTGGAGCCTAAATGTGCCACTAGTACCGTGCCCCTCGGATGGAATGCATATAGTGTCCCTGATAGGCTGCGTCTTCTCGGACAAGCGCTGAAAATTTGGCCCACGAACAGCGGCTACCGACTGTGTCAGAATGCGAACCAATGATTACTTGTTACGCCGAAAGATCTGTTAAAGGGATTCAGAGGGAGAAGGCTTAAACATCTCATCCTAGGTTGCCCAGCTTCAGTTAGGCACGCTGTTGGTGACCTCTAGCACTGACACCCTCATCTTTGTCTGTCTTCCGTTAGCACCAATGTGTCAACCTGCTCGGGTAGATGCCTGAATTCACTCCCTGTCCTCCATAGACGCATACATCTACGCTATTGACAATTTGATCCCGAGATTGAACGGAGCCTCTGAGTGAAAAAAGAATCGAGGATTAAGGCACCAACAGATTTGACAATAGTGCGCAGTACCACAAGACGCATTGCTTGATCCGTGATCTCTGTCGTCTCCAAAGTACTTCGCAGCAGTAATTGTTTCAGATCAGTTAGTTTTCGTGCATGGTAGTAAGATATGATGAGCGACCAATAGACTGTAAGACAGTCACTTAAAAGGACCTAACGATTGGTCAGCTTTGAATATACCATTATCCACTAAAGGAAAGTGGAACGATCCATCATATCTCAGTTAGTATCGGCTTTAGGCTCGGAAGGCACGCATTGTGGACGGCTGTCCTAAGAAGCAGGGTCTCGGCGTGCTCTTGCGTGAGGACGTCGGTTGGTCGAAATAGTCTAAAATGGCATCATAGTAAGGTAAACAATTCAATTCTTGCGAGAATCATCTTGAAGTATCAACTCAAAATTGTTTACTATGAATCGCCGCGTATAACGTGTGATCGCGTCTCAGACGAACGTTGAGTCTGATTCTACAAACTCCCCCCAACCATAATAGCAACAACGAAACACCTTCATTTCGGATACGGTCCTTGTGGTCGGAATGCCTACTTCAAAGTGAACAGAGGTCTTAATAGATACCGTCACAGTGCAATCACAAGCCAGGTAAGCAAAATCCAAAGTTGAATTCCTTACCGCTGTGCTAAGTGTTGATCGCGGATCTTAGTGGCACAGTGATCAAGGTGTCGGCCGTTAATCACTAGCCCCCGAGTTTTACCCCAGCTCAGGCTATCTCTATTTGGCGAGTTCAACTGAGGACGGAATCGGTCATGGGGTGTCAGCGTTGGGAGGAGTATCGAAACACCTGAATCATACGCGTCTACCTTGAGGTATTGTGCATTGTGGTGTAGACATGAGATATTGTAAGAGACTGTGACGTTTATACGATCATTAGGAATCTGGTCACCGTTTACAAATAAATAATTACTTTATTCTCGACAAAGCGAGGCACGCCCTTTGGGCATGAGTAGCATAGTGCTATGTTGTACACGCAAGCATAATAGGCAGGACCAACAGCGGGAGTAATACAGATGTAGTCCATAGTGTAGGCCCACATGACCCAAAGATTGAATGAAGTCTATTCTCGCAGAGTGCGAGATTTAAATATAAGGAGTAGAGATCATGGGAGTGGAGTATGTTGGTAAGGAACTGGTCCGATGAGGATGTGTACACAGTGCGAGTCAGGTGAATGAAACATGAAGAAAAAGCGGTGAAAACGATTTGAGAATAGTGGCAAGTCATTGATCAAACATGTAGGCGTTGTCGTGTGAGAGCAAACATGTGTGCAGAATTTGTGAGATGCGGCATCGGTCAACTTGCCAATGCGTGGTTGGGGCAGTGATTTTATTGAGTGGCGGGTCACATCCGCCACATCGCAGTGTTGTTAAACAGACATTCGTGGCTTTGTGTAAGGAGAACGTCTGCCAGGCAAAAACCCACCACGCCCTGGAACACTGTAGTCAGTTTCAGTGTACATTCTCACCATACTTATGACTCTTTCTATCAAATGGTTGACCCCCTCCACGATTTCTCGTTATTTTGTCGCCCATGAGAACAATTTATTCAGGAATACTCCACCAATATAGGCCGAAACATAGAGAACCGTTTCTGTGTCGGTGAAGTGTGACTGTACCAAGTATAATGAGGATAACAATTGTTATCGACATTTCTGATCGACAGACGGTAGAATCAAACTTTTGAAGTTATCTGCAGTTATGCGCATTTGACCGACTGCGGCTGATGCATACGACCCATTTTAGTTCTCCCGAGCATTTGATTAGCTAATTCTGAGTCACTTTTGTCCCAACCATGTGCACAGCGATCAGAACTCGTCAAAAGGGCTGCATCACGATTTACCGAGAAGTATAGAATCCTATTTTAACGTACTAACGTAGGTAAGTAAACAAGTTCGCAGCTGACTGCGCTCACGAACCCAAGTGTGCAGCCGGTGAAACGAAATGAAGTTCGATACAAACAATCAGGTTCGTCGATCGCCCGCCAACTGCTGGTGAACAAATATTGTACAGAACTTGTGCGTACTTGCGGCGTTATCAATCATAATCCTCCGATTTTACGGCAAGCTGAAGCCGTGGCCCTAAAACAACTCGACCAAACATTGCACCTACAGAAGGAAGCATTTAAAACCCGAAGTTTCTCGTGGAAGCAGAGTGATGTGTGTGTGTGTGTGTGTGTGCGTGTGTATGCGGTCTCGTCAATTCGTTAATACGACTGCACAACACTCTTGAAAATAAGCAAAGAAAATGGTCCTGATATACACTGGTAACTCGGTTGTACGCTTCTGAGGTAGATGAGAGTCATCCATGACGAATTCGAGCACAACTCTGAAAACGAAAGTGTAGAAAGAGCATTCCAATGGTCATGGTGAACTGTGGCGGGGTCAGTGTATTGAAATTTTCATGGTGCCGAACGGGAAATCGTTTCCGAATACGGATGAAGCTTATCGTAGACTGACGAAACCCCACGCGTTCAAGAACACTAGTTATCATGGTGCCACGGAATGGTCAAGATTCTTATGACGGGAGGTAGTTATTCAGAGACGATTTGTGGATAAACGGTGTTGATGAGATAAGTCTTACTAAATTCGTGGGGTGCATTGGACATGCAACGACTATTTTCACTTCCTGTGAAAAAATAGCGAGTACAAAGTAAGAATGGGTCATCCGTGGTCGATTGACAGATGCTAGATGAGATATTCATTCGAAACCAACATTACCAGAACATTACCAGAAAAAGATGACCTAACAGTATTTGACTTATCTGTATTGATGTACATGGGGAAGCCAGGAGAATCGGGTAATTCCCCGGGGAAACAATACATACTATCGCAATAATAAAAAGTGTGGAGCAAGCTACACTTACCCACTGGGATGGGTGCGGAACGTGCAGCAGAACAGGCCAGGGAGCTTGCGGCTTCAAAATAACCGCAAACAAGTCAACGAAAATACGCGAACAGTTTAACATTCTGTCGAAGGAACAATTCAAATAAAACTGTAGCCATATGGACAGTGAAAATAGATCGTAAAAATAGAGAGAGAGTACAAAATCTTGAGTGAGAGTCGCACACGATTTATCCTCGAATTGCAAGGTATCGAAAGGATAGAGAGGGAACCGTAAGACATATCAGAGCTGGCGTTATCCGGTGAAATGCGTGTTCTTGTCGGATAACGGCGACGAGAAGGTTGAGTAGTGTACTCTTCCCACGTGCCGCGGAAGCCGTAAACACAGAAAGATGATAAAGAAGCACTAAGGGATAATGAGATGAAAATGATGTACACATCGAAAAACCCGAGGACGTGGCATGTGATCATGGGAAATGATGCGCTGTTTCATCTCTGGGAAAGTATCAAAAAGTGGTGTGCATGCACGCCAAAGTGATGAGTCAAACGGTATGTTTGAGAGCAATTCAGCGAATCACGGAGTAAAAAGTGTGGCATCAGAAATTCCGTCGAAAGTTAGGGAATTCCAAACTGAATGATGCGATTCACGGGTAAATGTGTGCTGGTGGACACTCAAATATGCAGTGAATAGTTGCTAGTGAGAGAGAGACTGAACGAAAGACAGCGGAAGTAAGAAATGAGTAGAAGAACGAGTTGGCTACGCAAAGAAAACGTAAGTGCCCCATTGCGGATGGAACAGCGCGTTTTGACACTGAGTACTGAAGGGGAGAGGGAAACAAGCATAGTTGGCTCGATGGACAACCTGAGACGAATTCTTCACATGTCAGGGCTGTTGCTGACCAAGTCAACCAAAACAACGCACTATGGCTTAATGTCCGAAAATCTTCAACCTATGCAAAAAAAACAGACCTGTGCACTTCCGAACAGCAAATGAGTACGATCAAGTGACGTAAATGAACATATCCTTGTCAGTCTCATGGCGACGGACGTATTGCCTCTCGATGAGCCACTCCAAAACCTCCTTGACGAGTCGCTTGGAGGGAACAAACTGACAGCGTAGCAGTTCCACGAGTTCCTTGTACAGTTCGTTATGGTACATACGTTTTCGGGTTTTAAGTACCTTGATCACCGCTTCTTGGGTCCTCAGCTGTCGCAGTTCAACAATTGCCATTGTCTCTTCTTCGTTACTCGTCTCTTGAGTGAGTTGGAGACGACCGATAAGATTCAAACGACGGCGCGCCAGAGATTTGCTAGACTTCCTAAAAGCGTCAAAAAATTGTCATAATGAAGACATCGAACGTGGGTGCAAAGTCACTACGAACAGCTACCAAACACAGGTGGGAATGCAAATCAGCAGCTTACTGCCACTTAAGTTTAGTAATTGCACCCAAACAGGAGATGCGCATGCGGGACTAATCAGTGGTGTCATATTATGCTACCGATGGGATAAATAGCGAAAATACGTGTTCACATGTAAGAGATGATCACTCCGTTAACTATGACTTGTACTTCGATATACAGCGCAGGTTGGATACCACCTCACAATGAAATATCGCTAGTGACAGAAAAATAGAATTCAAAGCAAAGGGATAATGGACCAGCAACATCAGAGTATTGAAACTTGTGAAGCAGCACCTAATGGTTCAAACGATCGAACGCCTTTGAAAAGTCCACATAGATGACAACGGTCCCTGTCCGCTCGTCAAGTGCTTGAGTCCCATTGTTCCATGATATTAACAAGTTAGTGGTACACCCGAAGGATGTCGATGAAAAGCACGCCGCTCTGGTGCGATAACACACAATGGCTTCAAGAGCAACAACTAGTACGGTTGCAATGATCGTTCCCATGACTTTGGTGAGCACTGGGAGAAGCGTTAAAGGGCGGTAATTAGCAGGATAACATCGACTTCTTTCCTTGTGAATGGGGATGAGAACTTCCTGTTTTCACTTAGACGGAAGCAGATCCTCATCCAAACAGATCTGAAAGAATCCCGCCAGCCTTTCGACCAAGTGAAGGTCTGTTAGTTGCAGTGAGTTCAGTTGAATATTATCCGCTCCAGGAGAGCTGTGTGCGCGCAGGGATAGCAGCTTCTCTGACACTGTTTCTGCTTTGAAGATCACGCTGATCGTCCATGAGTTCATAACAAGGCGGTTTTGTAATAAATGATCACTACCTTCATTTTTTGTTCAATGGTACTGGATGAGCAATTTACCGGGTACATTGATCTCGGAATCGATAATCTCAAAGCTTAACCACATTTCGATGAGCATTATGATATCATGTGGCGCCTAAGGCCTGAGGATGTTTGAGTTCGGCCAAATTCCTGATAAAACCTTGTATATTGGTGTACAGATAAAACAGTTTCTCGGTAGGCAGGAGTGGGTTAATTATTACTGAGTAAAGACTGGAGGTTGCGCTGATTGTTGAGCGGTTGGCTACCACCATTATTTTGAGGAGTCATAGGCCTGTGAGAATTTTTAGGGACGCACAGTTGCACGTGGCTCGCCGGGTCCTGGTGGTCATCCATATTTTGACATACACTACCGAACGTTTTGGTTGTATGAGGTCAGTTCCGTCGCGGAATTGTATGAAGGGAAGATCATCTGAGTTGGACGATTTCAGTGAATCGTCAGTCAATCGTGCCCGTGCACCTGCTGCCTTTAACCGAATTTCTATCCGTATTATCTTGCGGAGTTTCATCAAAGACCACCAGTACCATCAGCTCAAAATGAAGCACCACGAGTATCGGTCAAGGACCACACTCACTGCAGTGCAAGACAACCGAAACTCTTGTCTAGAATTTATTAATGATGCTGTCCAGGAAGAGGGTTTCACGAATGCGACGTCACTGCTCCCAGTCGTGCGCCTCCGCCTCATTGGAGGAAGAAGTCTGAAGATTAGAAATTCAGTAAACAATGATCGCTCGTTTGTCATTAGACTAACGAATCTGCGCGTGGTTGTTTTTCTCAAGGGATGTCCGGAAATATGCGTACTCAATGTGGTATGTTAGGAGCCGCATCGACGACAGTAGAACGACCTCTATGTCGTCAGCGGAACTCAATGTCTCCCGGAGACGTCGAGGTTCACCGTAATGCACTGAATTTGCGTAACGTGTATGGTGAGCTTAACCGAAATGCCAATCGCACCACAAATGGACTTCCACTGGTTTTAATCGTCCATAAGCTTCCCTTTTATGGTATTAGACTGCGATTCTGGAATATCTGTGCAAATGATGGTTAAAGTGTTGTGGTTCATTCTGATGACTGTCGGTTTGTGGGTACTAAATGTCACCGTTTTTAATGGTTTGGTGGGCTGCGGCACCCTAGTTCTACTCGGTGCTAATACCGGAGTCATTTGCACGGAGGCAACCGATATGTAGGATGCCCGGTTTTTCAGTGATGGGCCGACAGTGATTCGGTGTCAACATCATCGCCATTGACGAAATGTGCGTTGAAACGTGTAATAAGTGGAGACATCTACAATCGATACTTGTTTATTTAAGGGAGTGAGAATAGTTAGGGGATAGGATATGGAGTACGGTTGGAGCCTCTGGCTCTTCTCTTCGGACTAAAGATGGAGCTTGAAGTGGCTAGTTGACGTTAGAGCGTAGTCATATTCGCTTCCAAACATGTAATGGTGCATTCACGAAATGCTCGATTGCGTCAGTCAAATTTGGGCACTTGGATTTAGTTTTGGCCTCGGAAGCAGTCGATCAGACGATGGAGATAGACTACTGACTCTTTGTTTTGATTATCGATGGTTACCTTTTGGGTACCAGCTTTCGATACACGGAAAGACAGACTGCTACCTGACGTCCGCCTTCTCAGACGCAAGAGTGATCCTACGTTGATCACAGAAGTGTAACAGACTACCGACCGTACTCGTCAAATTGTCTGGACTCTGACCACGCACTGGCTCGCGTTAAGGTTTGGATTCGTTTCGGAGGATCGCCGAGGCGCAGGCACTAATGACTAAGCGTCGAAAATCGACAAGACTCTAAGATGTTACCAAGTACCAAGCCACGGCTTCGGACAATGGTGTGAATTCACAACGAGTACGTAACAAATATGCCGTAGTTTCTGACAGCATTGACAGTTGTGGAGTTGCCCATCACCCACCGAATAGCTAGATCACCGCTTTCTTGTCACAGGTGGACAGACGACACCAAATGAGGAACATCAATTTCTAGATAGAGAATTGCACAGAGGTTTGCAGAAGGACCGTGAAATCTGGTGGTGTGAACGTTCTAGATAGATGGAACTTGATAGTCCCTAGTAATAACAGAAAATGCTTCCATCTCATCTGATTCACCGAAGGTTTCCGATCTGGTGTAAGCGAAACAATATGCGCATAGAATGGCTCTCCAGCCATTGATCTTCAACGACATCTGGAGCGATGGGCTGAAGATGTCGGCTCGTAGTTTTGCTGGCCAACAGCCACATCTGCTGCCTCTGAAACGCTCTGGTACTGAGTGGTTTATTCCCACAGACCCACCCTCCCACAATGAAATCTGGAAGGAACTCAGTCCACTAAAGCGTTGTAAAGCACCTAGCTCTGAAGGCTGACCTCCTACTGTAGTTAAAGATAGTGACTGTTCGTTGGTTCGAGAACTCACCACCTTGTTCTCGGAAGTCCAGTCAAAAGAGTAGTTTCAATCGTCATGATGAGTAAATAGCCGTCCCCATTTTCAAGCAGCGCCCGCGAACAATGTGCTCCATTTACAGGGGTTTACCTTCGGTTTCCGTGGTCCGCAAGTTTCCGGTGTATATCACACTTCGCAAGCTAATTCTATCGCGCGAATCACTACAACGGGAAGCACAGACTGTGTGACGCCCTGGTCGCAGCAACAACGATCAAATTTTGAGACTCAGTCAGATTCTCGAGCTCCGCCATGTGCATTAAAAGACAACGAGTGTCGTGTTCCTGGATATCCGTACCGGCTTCGGTTCTGTCGACAGGACTGCATTGTGGCTCTGCCTGTTAAGGAATCACGTCCCCGTGAAGTTCATTTCCGTACTGCGTTCCATGTACAGTCTAAATACGGGTAGAGTTAGAGTTGGTGGAAAGTGGGTTTTGATAACGTTGCTCTATCTCCTCATTTCTCTTCAACTTTTCCATTGAGGATGTCCTCAAAAATGCTCTGGAAAACTCGTTAAACGCTGGTGTCGAGTTCCTCCCTGGTAGTCAAGTTGTTGATTTGGACTACACCAATGATATCGTCTTGCTGAGTGACGGCCCATAGGTCATCCAACTTGCACTTAACCGCTTGACGATAGAAGCGTCAAAACATGGTATGTACTTTTCACCATCCAAGTGCAAAACCCTTTTCAAGACTGCCAGATGCCTGTACCTGCACTCACTATTGGTGATGAGACACTAGAGGTTGTGGGTAGTTTTGCCTACGTGGGAAGTTGCATCACTGCAGGTGGGGCTATTGGAGACGAGATCTCAATGCGTATCTCAAGAGCTCACCTCGCTTTCTCCAGAAAGAGGGACTTGTGGTGACATCCAACCCACCAGCAATGGGTGTTTGTTGTACGACAGTCCGTGCTGTACTTTTGTGCAGTTGCGACACATGGCCTGTTTATACCGTGGACCTGCGCTGATTCTGTCTTCGAGCACCGTTGCTTGAAGTTCACTGCCTGTGTGTGGTGGATGTACGACGTAATCAATGTGGAAGTTAGACAACGTGTCTTGAGTGGAGGAAGCCACTTCTTGTGTCAGTCGCGGTGGCCTGGACATGTATTGTGTATGCCTGCTCAGCGTCTTCCGCGTCGTGCGCTGTTATCCGTTGCTGCGCAGGGCTGAAGGAGGAGGCGCGGTGGAAAGCTAACGTCATGGAAGAGCTGCATGAAAATCTGACGAAACAGTTGACCTCGGTCGGTTAATCACGAATCCCTGGATGGGATCACAGAGATAAGGAAGGTCTCGGAGGCCCTGGAAGTCATGGCTAAAGAGAGACGTTAGTGGTGAACCTGTATTTCTGTGTGTTGCGGTGATACCATGTCCCTCGCCTAATAAAACAAATCAAGAAAAAAGCAGTGGGCGGAAAAGTAGGTAAAAAATCTTCCGTTTCCCGTTCTTTTGCGATTCTGTTTTCCTAACCCGCCACGATTCGGAAGGCACAGTAGCTGTATCAAAGTTGGTGGTATATATATATATATATATATATATATATATATATATATATATATATATATATATATATATATATCTTAACGGATTATAAGTAATCCCGGATGCAACCAACTAGGTACAGCGTAAACAGTCTGGTCACTGGATTCGTTACCATGGTTGCATGGGCTCATCAGGCACACTGCTAGTGCACTGTTTTAGTGGAATCACCATCGCCTTTTGTTACTTGGGAAATATTTCAACTGAAGCTAAGAAGGTAGCCAGCAACGAAACATACACCAGCTTTCTTAATAGTCGTGCTGCCAATGGTTTCGATTGAAGGACTACCCTCATTGCTCTTGGGACACATCCTGTGTAGTTCGGTGGTGTGCGTTGCCGTGACACCATATCACTAGCACGTCATCCAAGGAGAGTGCCTCACTAGTGTAACACCATGGTTGCTTATCTATTATTTCATGTCCATCGCATGTCAGTTTTAGAAACGCCGTGCAGTTACGTCGGTGATGATCGCCCCATGAGATATCTAGAAATACAGGGAAAAGTTCATCTCTGAAGTTCAACGTCACGGGCAGTATAACCTTGGCTCCTCGTAATGCTCAGTTGATGCGCGATGACTCGCGACACATTCACGGATGTTACTGTGGAGAGCGCAGCGCAGTGCGAACGATTTGTATATAAGAGAACGAACATATAGATGGTATAACATTTCGAACATAAAACGGACTCATTTGTGCGCTTCATTCTTAGTGCCATTTGATTCTACGTTCCGCTGCGTGCCATCGACTCAGTTTAACGTGACAGTGTGGTATAGGCCCAAAGCTCCAGCGTTATTCATTTCCATGGCTTGTTGGATTGTGCACTACCTACCCGTTGTCCGCGGTGATCTATTATTTGTTCAGTTCATTGCGCCTGCTCGTTGCACCTATACTACTCATTAGTGGACCACAATAACTGCAACACCTAGTGAAGTCCCAATGGTTGAGGTCATCCAATTGTCAGCATCTAGTTGACAATGCCGCTGATTATGAGACATTGGAGCACACTACAGTCTACAGAAACTGTTGTTTCTTAGTATCTTTCCTCATGTCACCGGTAGTGGTTGACATACTTCGTGATGTACCGCAGAGAACTGGTGTCACTTGCACCAGAACTCCGCTTAGATCTAGAGGGAGTGCCGCTGATTGGATGAAGCGTCGCGTATAAATACTCCAAGCGAATTGAGAACGTAAGTCGCCTGTATTTTTGGAACAGCGGGTAATTTTCCGGGCTACTGGTGTCGTTTGGCTAATGGTGTTACAAGAAGTCCTCTTCAGGCTTGGAGCATCGCTTACTGGTAAGGCTTGGGATGCACAATCTGCTGTTTACCCCAACTGTTGTGATTCTGGTGGTCAGCATTTCCTTAACCTTGTCTGTTAGCTAGTAGTACAATTGGACTAATAAGAGCACGCTTTTTATCGGTGGAAAAAGATGTGCGCATCCCACACGGAAACAGAAGGAGTCTCACTCGCTGTTGTGCAATTTTGCCTCGCATGTTTTCAGTTTGGGGCCATTAATATGAAAAAGCATACAATTTGATAAGGTTGGCACACAATTTACATAAGTCTAACCTAGGGTACAGTAGGAACCGCATCCACTGGGCAACTGTTACGACCCTTAATGGTCCGCAATTATTCTCTCTTTTCGGCGTTGAGGGAAAGGTCACACTGCTCAGGTAGCTCTAGTGGGACTGTAAGATGTCCATTTTATTCCTCCGTTTGGCGTGCCGGTCGAATGTGTCCATGTGTACTTGTGACAGATAACATGATGGTTTGACGAACGGAGTTTTGTGACCGGATGCATGGATCACTCCTGACCAAGGCAGTGAATGGCAGAGCGGACTTTCCGAGAGAATGAGTAGGGTTTGTTGCAAGGAAACGTAAATTGCGTTGCAGCCGTTCAACAAAATAGCGGACAGAAGAATAAGAGTTTTTCCGAACCCAGTTGGAACGCTCTACAGAATGAGATCCAAAATGGACTCCACGGCTGGAATATAGCAACGGTGTACGCGTGGGTATCGGTGAAACACTGTTCGGAAATGTACTTCCGAGAGAATGATTTCAGGTGGTGTTGTTAATTGCAGACGAATAAGTGTAGATCCAGTGATGTGCGACTTAATGCGGCGGGGTAAAATCCGAGAAAACGAGATGTGAAAATATGTTCAGCTGGCACCGTAGAACTGGCCGAGTTGAACAAAACTAAAAGACGTCTGCTACCTTGTGTCGAATTCGCTAAACATTTAGGGTGGAATAGTCTGATGCAAACTGAGTAGGTTAGACCTATCTTAAGAACGTTACAGCAGTTATGAAGAGAGCATTTTTCGCACTGCATCATGACTAGACTATTACTTGTACTAATTTAACTAGGTGCTGAGTGTGTGAGCGTCAATGCAACTGAGATGTTTAACGTCGGTCAAAAGTTGTGTATATCTGCATGCGCAATAGATTTGAGGGACAGACTAGTCGGTCAATCGATCGGTGTGGGCAGCTCGCCAACGAACGTTGAAAACATGCTGCGTGCGAACGATGGGTCGGGACGATAAGCTAAAAATGGATCGCAAACTGATCCAACAAGTGTAGGTCGCTTCTTTGAAAAATGCCTTCTATGAGCGAATTCAGAGCAACACAATTAGGTAATCCAAAGGCAACAAGGTTAGTAGCAATCATGCCAATGGCCCTATCAGTTAGATACAGAATTTTCCATCAATAAAACGTATTGGAGTGGCTTTAAAGATTGATACTTGAGGTGGGACGAATGGAGATAGCTCAGGTACAAATCTCCATTCGCAAATATGAGTGCATCTGATTATCAACGAGCACGAAAAGCTTGTGGGCGAACAAGACAGGATTCGAGAAATACACAAGAAAATTCACAGAATAATGCACGCGAATACAGCGAGGAGATCGGAGTGCAATAATCACCGACTTCACGATGGGCAGACACGAATTTCGTCAGACGCAGGCAAGACGGGAGTAAAAAAGTGACAAACATGAGGAAATGTATAAATAGTAAGACAAACTGTGGAGCTATACAAAAAATATTTCTCAAACAATCAAAGACAAGCAGCGGGAATCAGATCAAGCTGGAACAAATGAGGCGAACTGGATGCAAGTGGAAATGAGTACGTAAGATACACATTGTTCCCCAACGAGTGGGGAAAAACTCACGAATTTGTAAAATTGAGGTTGATCCAAAATACAGTTGACTCTGAAAACTCCTTTTCGGATTTGGCTCTTGGAGAATAAAGAACTATCTGTTCCTCCATTTTTGGATGCTCACACAGAGTCTGCGAAAAAAGAGCAAAGCAGTTAAGGAACAATGTTAGTTGTCCCCTGCTGCCACACGAAAGCGTATCCTTTTTGGCGAGATACACATTGCCACAGAGTGTAATTAGTAATGAAGCCATCGTGAGCGAAACGTATTAACATTTTAGGGGAGCGCGTGGCTGAGTAAGGAACGTTTTGCTTCAATTCTGCTGTGAGAGTACTCCATTTCACATGAAATCCCAAAGCGCTGATATAAGGTTAACGGCCTATGAGCAGTATGAGTGTATGGGGAACCAGACCAAACAGGTAGGAACACAGCAAACGCTGTCCGAAGAATGTGAGTATATATAACGGAAATAAAGTTGTGAAAGCTTCAGACAAGGATAAAGAGAGTCTAGCTTAAGACTTGGCGAAGCCATCTTTGGAATGAACCAGCTGAATCATGTTAGATCACAGAGACCATGTTCATGCAGATGAGTAGAGCAATGCGATCAGGTTCGTACGGCAAGACAGAGAACACCTGAGTCCACAAGCCACTGCTTTTCGAAAGCGCAGTGAAAATGTGTCCTACAAGACCACCAGACTGACAAAATCAAAGAAAAGAAAGGAGAAATCCGACGGTTTTATTCGACAAGTGGGGGGCGTGGAATTCAGCATAAGGGATAAAGAGGTTGAAGAATTGACAAGATGGACGATAGATAACATTAAACAGAGGTGGGAGAGATAACTGTGCCTGCATGGTCACACCGCTGGTCGGAGCTAAGTTAGAGTAGGTGAAGAGTAGGCCTACCAAATAGAATTTTGAGGCAGGATAAAAGAAGAAAAAGTACCAAGAGTCCGTAAGTGAAGGCAACTCCGATGGAAACCAACGGAAGAAGAGAATGGATGACATTCGCTAGTAGGCTGTCATAGTGTCACGTATGCACTTGATTATCGATTCGTGAACACAGGCACTCACATGATTGATTGACAATGACGTTGCCTTAATTTTCTTAGTTGGTTTTTCTTGCCGGCTTTTCTAATCAATGTAACGCAGGAAGCTTTTAGTAAATCGGTTCCATACTAAGCGTACGCGTTGTGTTCCGTTCATCGGCTAAGGGTCATAGTTAACACATAATATGCACCCCAGTAATGTATGAGTAGCTAAACCACACATACAAACAACCAGAAATGGGTTTGGGATGGCTGACCATAAACGTAGGAGGATATGGGACATAACGTTCTAGAAAAAGTAAACTAGTGAAATAGAAAAGCCGGAAACTGAACTGGTAGCGACACATCAATCGTTTTCAAGGTAGTTCTATGTTAGGAACACTTTTATTTAGCAGCTTATCTGTTCCCGTTCCAGTTTTAGCTTGCCCCTTGGTTGATGTGACCTTTGGTTTCCCTCGCTGGCCAAATGCCGGGGAGCACCGAAGGGAATACGCGCAGTACACTGCCATTTCGTGTGGACGCCTCACTGCGACGGGACCATGAGCCATCGCGTGGGAGTCAGGGAGGCTATCCACCCCAATACAGATTTAAACCGGCGGGCTTTGGAGTACAAAACAGACGTCCATACTGCTGGGTCACTGGCTAAGCTCTAAAGGCTGAACTACTTATAGGCAGCCGATAACACAGGTCAACAGTGGTTTTTGTGCCAGAGATAGCAGACTGATTTGCAGACAACTCCGTGTCACTGATTCTGAATCAGGACACTGAGATATGGTGACCCAATAAAAGGCATAGTATGATAAGAAACCAGTGTTTAGTCTAAGAATCCTTGTACTGCAAGTGCATAGATAGTAAATACCTAATGGTCTCATACACGATAGCTGAAGGAATAATCTGCTCAGCTGATGTATATCATGAGGGCTAATTTCTGAAGAAAAAACGCGATTTCTACCATTTCCTGCTAGAAAGTGAGCTAGAATGCTCCAGCAGTGGTCCGTCACCACTTGTCTCTCCCACCTGTCCTGATATCGCTCTTCCATCACCTGACGGAACCTCCAACTGGTTCTTAGCTGAAGTCACCAAGAGTATCCCAGAATCTGTCCTAGTGGCAATGCAGAAAAGGTAACTTTACGCACATTTTACAACCAAATATGTGGACGTTTGTAAGCATATTCTTCACCAAATCTTCATAGTCCCTTGCTTTGTGCTCACCCAAGAAGTTCTTGACAACGGATACAAAACCATTACAAGCACGTGCGTTAACACTGTTCCCACATGTAGGATTTTGATCATAAGTTATCGAATTTGAGGAGCATCGAAGATGCTAGCTTTCAGTTTCTACATACTCAGTTTAAGGAATGATCTACAGATGTACTTGAAACCAGCACAATCTTAGTACGGTGTTTTAACAAATTCTTTCACCAGCCCCCACGTTCTATGAAGTGCTGAGAGAATAATATTTCTCTATTATCAAAGGCTTTTTGATGATGTACGCTGCTCATGAATTCATGTTTTCCCTGGTGGGCTAAGTCACCTTCATCCAATGGTGTTGATTAGCCGTACTCTCTTGTATGCACATAATGCAAGGATATTTTGCATACCCACTTTGTAATAAAGTCAAATAGCTCCCTCTTTTCAGATCTACGTAAATCGGTACTTATTGTATGAATTGAAGCACAGAAATAACTATCATGGTGATAGCTTGTCGGTTCGCTCTAAACGGGGAGCACACTAGAACTCAAACCCTGTTTTGCACCAGTTGTCCGCTAGCGGAGACACTCGACAGGTTTTGCAAACCTTATGGGGAGGCAAGAACATTTCCTTGCCTCCACGCGACTGGTGGTGATCGAGTGGCAGCGAAGCGCCGTTGCGGCATATAGCTGGCAATTTACTTTGTTTACTGTACTTACAACAAAGTCAGTGCAATATGTTGGACTCGCAACAAAGTGATAGCGTTCCTTTGTTTTGCCACAATGTAGTCATCACAAATGTTGCAGAATACATCGGGATTGTTTAAATAGCTACGTCGACAGGAACCTATATATCAGTGAAATACACAAGAGACAGTTTAAATAATTACCTATTAATATTAACAGTTAATAATTATAACCCAGAAGCTAAAGCCAATTGGAGAAAATCGCCTTCACATTTAAAGGCAACACTACTGAAATATCCTCGGCACCAGGAAAAACATTTCTTTTGGTCGACCAATGCGATCGATGTAGAGTAGAAATAAACAGTCACCATTATTCATGCAGTCTACTCCGACCCACTTACTCTAATTAGCCTAGGAGCCCCAAAGCCTAAATACGCGGTTATGTCCCATTCCAATAGAAATATGCGTTAGAAGCAAAGCGACATAACTTGGCGATAAATCGCATTCTTAGCAGACTAATAACTGCGGCCTGCTGGGGTAGATGCAACAGTGCAGCAGCAGCAGCAGCAGCAACAAACAGGTAGCGCGCCGTTCCGCTTCGTGTAATGGGCTCACCGTGGATGTTGTTAGACAGACTGCACTGAAACAATTGTTCGAAAGGATTGAGCCATGTGGTAGAGGGCAATGTGCACACCGACTTGAATCGTGAACGTCGCATCCGCAGCGAAAGAACATGCTAGGCGCAAACAATTTGATAACAGCATAAAGGTTCTGGGTTCGAGCACATGTCACAAGCTGATTCCTAAAGTAGTCAGCTTGTGTTGAAGTAAAATCTGTTGACGTCCAGTGCAGTCGGAGAAACAGAGCAACATGGACAGACAAAAGGGTCACTGTGGTGACACGGTGTAAATGAAATCTCGAAAGAATCATCACTACGACTAAGATTCTGGGCCATAGCAGGAAGGAAAGTTATATGAACGACAAAAGGTGCATAAGAGAAAGAGAAATCGGCAGTGGTCTGTTTTCCATCGTCCACCCTTCTGTGTGCAACAGATAAGCCGATCGTCTTGAATCTATCCGACGGTCAATGCTAGCTGAGGTTGGAATTTGTTGGAAAACTCATGGCTGTAAGCGAGCTTAGACGGAAGTGCTCCGACGCGGTGGCGTGTATGCAGTGGACTGCATCATTCTCCTGAGGCACGTGAGGTGGCTCGGGCATATTCGCCGCATGGATTCGACCCAGACACCGAAACAGCTAGTTTATGGTCAACTGAGTGCAGGAAAACGGCACGTGGGAAACCCGAAGTTACGTTACGAGGCCATGATCGAAGTGAGCCTATCACGTTCTAATCTTGATTACAGGTCATGGGAATCGAAGGCGGTTGATCGGGGCGCTATCTGATCACGAATGCAGTTGCCGAGGTGCTAGAGAAATCCCTCGTGCATGCAAAGAAGCGGCAGTTGCGGAAGCGACAGGCGCCCATGGGCTGTACTCCACCGACTTCGAGCGCATGGTACTGTAGCACATGAACTAGCGAATGGTTGAGTTAGGCAGGTTCAGTGACCCACAATCGAGGTCACTCGGGTTCGGCAATGAAACGACAAAGGCCTGCTGAGAAAGTAAGCAGAACCGGCACAGCGTTGGCAGGTACGCTGCATTTGATTTACTAATGGCGTGCTTGCATGCTGAGTTTCTTTATTTCAGGTGGTGGGTTTGCTACTTTGTCTTATTGTTATTTTGTTACTTCATTTTATTGTGTGCCTGAATAATTTATTAAATGGCATATTGCGCTTAAACTAAAGGTGGTTAACTTCGCTATTTCCCCCCTTCTTGCATATGTGTTTTGATCCCTTTATCTGGCATCCTGAATCTATCATGTTATATCGAACAGTGTATTAGATCTATTTTATTCGACATTTCATTTCATGTGATTGGCTGTTGCTTGGCATCCCCGGTGTGGCTGTGCTTGATGAGCATGTTGACAAGATGCCTACCTACCTATTACCCACTATCTCGTCCATACTGGCTCCAGGAGACAGTTGGTCGTTGCTAGAGGGGACAGGGTGCACGGTCCTCGTGGCCGTGTTAGGCTCGTAGAGTGCTTCCATGCACTCAGTGTAGAGCGGAGTACAGTCCAGCCACCGTCTTTTGTGCGCTTGAATCCCCAAAAACAACGTACTTGTGTTTGCCTGTGAGAGTGTAGGCCGGCTCCGCTGATGAAACGTGGCTCCCATCCACATGACTCCCGGTCTTATTCCGTAGAGTTTACACTGGATATGAGGCTTGTGGATAGAGCTGTAGCTGGTGCAGCGCAAGTCATCCATGGTCCCTCTGTAGGCGCAGGCGTCCTGTGGCTGTCCCTGTGGAGGCCACAATGACAGGCAAATCCGGATACGGATGCCGCCAACCATGCGAGCTTAGATACTGTCAAGATGCTGTTGTAGAACCATCATAGGTCCGCAAAACCTGTTCAGAGTTCGCCTGAGCTCACCTCAGTAATACTGTTACCATGCGGCGGTTCAATCTGAGCAGCTAACACCTGAGCTCTTCTCAAGACAATACTGTACCTGCCACCTCAAGTCGCAGTGAAGAAACTGAGTTCGTCTCAGGACATTACTACTAGGTGGCTTGCCGACAACTATCTTTCTACATAATGTATGTACCTTTGCGCCACACGACTGAGCTATAAATATGTGAGTGTAAGAACGAGATTTGCTTTTGGGTGTTAGTAAAAGGATTTTTGCTATCTGTCAGTTGTTCTTTTATGGGCCTCGGTGCAGTCGTGCAAGGTTATGCGTTCCGTCTCAAGCTTCAGCTCGCGTGCACGTCCGACGGCTGAATCAGCTAAAGCGTACCTATCCGAATTCAATTGGTGGAAAACATTTCGTCCGTTCCGACTAGGGACGTATTGTAACTGGACCGATGTGAGTCTTCAGCTAAGGCACATGGCTCAAGAGCCTATTCAAGAAAACGAGTGCCATCCCAGTTCCGAACATCAACCTGGAAAGACAGAAGACTGAGCCCACTCGGCACCTAACTGTTGGAAGAGGGATAATAATCCAGGTATGCTTAAGTAAAGTTTATAATTTCCAATTTTCCGTTCGCTAGGCTCATTTAATGACGTTCGTCTTAAAGTGTCACTTCATTAACTCCATTAGCTGTTTAATCGTTGTTTTGGCTTTCGGATTGCAGTTCTACCATGAGGATTTCTTTAAGTGCATTTGATTAGTTCCTTACTTGTTCGGTTCATATTGGCTTTGTCTGTGCGCACACTTTCGATGCTTTCGTTGGATTTTACATACAACAGTATTGTCTCTCTATGAAAAGTACGCTGCATCCTATTCCTACTCATTCGTGTTCTCACAACCATTAGTGGGCAGAAGCAGTCGCGAGTCCGGACACAATGAGGTAGGAATGGTTCCCAATGTGTCGGAGGTAGCAAGTCCTTGTGTTACGCTAAGATCCAGTCTAGACACGCAAGCGATAGGTAGTAATTGTGATCCCGATTTGAAAAAGGCAGGTTGCAACTAGACATGATCTTTCCAAGCTTCGCTCGATATGTTTCAGTCATGCCCTAGCAACTAGCTAGTTTTAAATGCTTCGGAGAGAGGGAAAATGACAGTGACGTATCTTATCTAGTGGTTGTCTAGTAGATAACAATTTCAAATGATATGTAAACAAACAAATAAAATTGGGATAATTGTGAAAGCTATAAGCTAGTAAAACGATTAAATACTCTGGATGAGAACTTACACAATACGCTGGTTGCAAGAAGTATGTAATACTACGAAACATGGACAAAAGGAGCGAAGAAGTATGACGAGCGCAGAATACATGTTTCCAAGTGACGAGACATGGGATGATTGGGTTACACGTACCCAGAGGGTCCGCCGAAGCTCGTTCTCCTGCAGTCCGGTGGCAGTAAGCAGGCTATCCAAACTCAAACGTTGATCGAAGCGTCGACTCCAGGCGTACAACACTACCAGCTGATAGACAGTGACCTCTAGTTCAAAGCGTCCTCGATCGCTTGTGAACAGTAGTAGCCCATGAGACAAATGGTGCTGCCAAAGAAGATTGCGACCTTGGTGCTTTCTTTTGTAAAACTCCTCAATCTAGAAACAAAGGCAATACAATGAAGTGAAGGATGATAAGTAGGATAGCATAAAAAATCAATGATGACATTCAGCACCTTACTTTCTAAGGGACACACTTGTGTTTTTCTCGGTGAACAGCGATGCTGAGAGCTATTCAATGCAGCAGCTGATGAGCTTGTGAAAAAGGACAGACGCGAACTAAACTATGCGCGTAAGAATTACGTTCCCTGTGGATAGATTATCAACATCGAACCGACTGAATTCACTGAAGGTCAGAGGACATGGCGACGATATACCATTGTAACCCATTTGGAAGTCGAAGTTGCAGCGTCAATGGGTGTGAGAAAAACCAGAAAAGTGTATTTCTAACTGACAGAACTTTTAACGGGCACCTCAGATGCGGTGGGGTTAACCCCAAAAATGATCAATCACTCGCAACAGAAAATGAACAGAAAATGAGGACAGCAATCGGCGGACCTTAAAGATGGCATCGCGATTCATTCAGTAGTGTGCAGCAGGACACAGCAGGATCAATAAGATTGCCTAGTACGTTAAGGAGCACGTTTTAACGAGGCTGTCTATGTGAGAACAGAGTGCAGACGGAGTAACAAAGCTACCGATGTGGCCGACAGTAAGGTTTAGTTCGATCTGTAGACAGTGGATTGTAGGTACATAAAACATTGAGCATACTCAAACGGAATTCCACCGGATATCGGTACATGGCAAAAGAAGCATTTGCAAAGATCACATATGATTACTTGTGCGCAGATGGATCTCTATTCACGTTTGCTTAACAACCGGGGGGATTAAGAAGAGAGGAGCTCAAGGAGTCGTAACCAGAAGAAGAGGGCTTCACTTTGATAAGACTATTTCCAGCATGTCCAGCAATACACCAAAAGCATAAAAAGCAAAAGAAACACTATCAGCAGTCGAGGGATACAACGAAGTATCGTCAAGCAAGTGGGAGAAAATCGGCCGAAACGTTTCGTCATACAAATGGACGTTTGTGCCGCGGCCGGCAGGTGCTGGTACGCAGTGACGGAATGCGTATGGGTCTAAACACAGATCGCATAGGTCACCAACACAATGTGATACTTGATGCATCAGAGAAGACATGCATGGCGACGAGTAGAGGATAAGATAATGCAACAAGTGAGATCCGTCATGATAACCTGACGTGAATGCCGTGCTAGAGATGGTTAAAGGAAACCAACAGCGAACACAGATTAACGCAATCCGTCAGACAGTGTACCCAAAACTGAGAGGTCATAAAACCGGCTTACTAGTGACTCGTCATTGGTTCCCTCCAGTAAATGAAAAACCACAAGCATGGATGTATTTCGTACCGTCTCCTCAGTACCAATTATAATAACCGGGTGTGAAAAAACAGCGTTGAGAAACAAAAAAGCGATGACAGCAGTTTGGTGCTTACGCCCACGGGAAGTTTGACGCTGACAAATAGCTGTTTATGGACACCCAGCACCGACTGCATCCAACGGATCGTAACAGCAAAGATGACCCAAAGGAATTACCCATTAGAGTGACAGCACAATTTTCGATGCGGCATCCAGCTGAATCCGGAGACCTGTGATCAATGGGCGTTTACCTATCGAGGACATCGGTGGCTTCCGCAAGGACGGAGTTTGGTCCGGATAAAACTGTCACGTTGGACCCACTTCAGAACATGTTCCATGCGAAAGTACAACTCTCAGTAGAACGCAGTATTTGCCTAATGGCAAAGGAATACAAAACAAGCCAGTTTCCACAGTATCATAAATGTCTTCTGACTAGCATCAAATACAGCTCTTCGCACAAGGCGAAACTGTTCAATCGATGATAAGCTTGGCGTTTAACTGACGCTCGTAAGGCCAGACAACAGGAAGTAAGCAAATTAGGCTCACGCAAGGCAGAACTACTGGGCTGCGTCATGCTGAACAACACTTCGCTACATATTCCCTCATTCGGGTAGCTAGTGCCTTGCCGATTCTGCCTATCAATGAACAATGATTTATCAATGGTTAAAAGCCGTTGTATGACAGGTCCCGTAGAATGGCTGGTGAGGAAAATAAAACATCCAAGAGCATGCGAATCATTTGTTTACGCATCAGCCGAGTTATATGCGTTCCTAAATAACGATAGTGTAAAATAAGTAATAAATGCAAGCAAACAGAACAACCTGGGGTGTAGTTATAGCTAACGTATGGAGTGAGAAAAGTAGAAACAAGGTCGCCCACTCATGCACCGCCTCCCTGGGTCCATGTGACACATAAATCCGGTATTGGGGCATGTTTAATGTAATCCATAATAGCGGAGTTTAAGTAACAAAGTGCTGGGAGCTAAGAGACATATCCAGTCGTTTTTGAAAATATCCAAAGTAGGAGAGGGGATAAATGAGTTCGGAAGAGAGTTCCAGGGTTGGCAAAACCCGAAGAGAAAAGCGGTTCCGTCGACACTCTAGACGGCTGTATCGTACACTTAGTTTCAGGCAGTTACCTCTGAGATTGGTGTTGTGGCTGTTTAAGCAAATAGTCGCATATGTGGCCAGGGTCACTAAATATTTAGTAAACTAATTAGTGATCACCGCGTAGCCTTCGGTGGCGTCTGCTGAAAACTTCAAATAACTTCCGACTTTGTTGGTAACAGTAATTTCGTAGACCTTTGACAATCTGTGTTGTCATGCTTCGTGGTGTTTCTAGCACCTCAAGTTTGCGCTTCAGCAAAAGTTGCCAAGCTTGGATGGCGTATTCTACGTGAGGGCGCACGCAGGAATTGTGCATCTTTGATAAGACTGATGACTCAAGCCTCCCGAATGCCCTTCGCTGCGGGCCGACGTGCTAGTTGCCTCTTTTCGCAGATACCCCGGCTAGTTGAGGTTACTTGGTATATGAGCGCACCGACGTCGCGTTCCTGGGAACGGATCTGTATGCTCTAAGCAAATGCGTGTAGTCATGCTCATGGCACGGTTGAACAACTAAGCATTTTTCTACATTGAATGGTAGGGCACTGAACCGACCAGTTCGAAATCGTGTAACCATCGCGCTGAAGCCTTTTTTTGTCCTCCGGTTCTCCGATCGCTCGACATATGTTAATATCATCTTTGAAGAATGGGAAACCGGAAGCGATTACCCTCGCCAGATCGTTTATGAATGTTACGGAGAGGCAGCGCACAAGCCGAGAAGCGTGGCGCAAGAGTGGATCGATCTACAAGTAAAGATCGAACACGAGTAAAAATCAAAATGCGAATCTGTGTGAAATCAACGGCAAGTCGGCCCATGGATTTGAACCGTTTGATTTGTGTTAATTAATATTAATTAGCATCACCAAGTTCGCTGTATTATTGGTTTCCTACAGTCTATTACGCCATGCTCTCGTACAATAGAAGCAGAATCCCTCGGTCCGGCTGATCTTGGCACTTTCATTTCGTTGCGGGATTGAACTGGCTGGGGACGGCACAGCAGCTTTCAAGCAAGTTATCCGTACTGTCAGCGAAAACCACAACAATAAACATCAAGCATAGGTGAGGCCCTAGCACCTAGCATGGGGAACACTGCACTCAACAACAATCACACTACCATCTGTCGTCAAAGATGACCCAAAGATGACCTTTGCGACGAGTGAGGTGACGTCAGCTTTTATGCGCCCATCGTTGCTGATGCAGCTGCCAATATAAGTGAATCGATCAATCACCTCGAGTTCCTCGTTAGCAAGCGTCAAGGGATCATCAAGTGGCTGGTGGTCCTGAAACAACACTTTACAATTTGAAGGTGCAAAGCGCATACCAAATAATGGGACCACACTAGACAGGCTATTCAGGGTTGATTGAACCGCCCCAACATCGTCGAAAAGCAAGACGATATCGTCCGCATAATCGAGATCAAGTAATCTTTCGCCAATCAGCACTTCAACACCTACATCGTGAGATTCCGCAAGGGAACACTCCATGATAGAATCCACGACGAAATTGAACAAAAATGGGGAAATGAGACAACCCTGTCGAACGCCACTTGTAGTCGAAAAGCTATCTGACAGGACACCGTAGACCCTGACGCGGCCTCTAGTGTTCGAGTATAGAGCACGAAGGATGTTCACATATTTTGTGGGAACACCTTTCCGCACAAGTATTTCGAACAGAATCGATCGATCGACTAAATCGAACGCACTCTTGAAATCGAGGAACACAGCTGTTGTCGGGCTGCGCTATGCGTGGCGCTGCTCTAGCACTTGCCGCAAAGTGAATATATGGTCTATACAGCCACGCCCTGGGCGGAAACCGGTCTGCTCTTCCCTAATCCGAGATTCCCGTTCCGCAGTGAGGCGAAGAACGAGAATCGAGGCCAGTACGTTTGTCATAACTGGCGTTAGGCTAATACCCTTGTGATTAGAACAGTCTGTGCGACTGCCCTTCTTGTATATTGCCACTATAATCGATTCGCTCCAATTAGCCGAGACACTATCTTTCTTCTAGATACTTTCGAATAGGAAGGTCAGCACTTTGCAGAGGACCTCACCTCCATAAATAAATAGTGCAGGTGGGAGGGAATCCGGGCCAGAGGCACGAAAGCGATGGAGGGCTGTGATCGCGTTCCGGACCTCGACCTCCGACGGAGGCTCTAAGCTAACGGTCCATGGATCGTCCTGCATCACCTGAGTAACAAGAGGTCCGGGAGCAGGGAGCCAGCTGAACTGATCTTGAAAGTGTTCCACCCGAGCCATACGAAGCTCCGAATTGTGTATAAGCGCACCCGCACTCTTTCTGATTGTCTCACTGACGCCTGGTTTTCTGGGACCAGTGGTGCGGATTAGCTGGAAGAGCTTGCGATAATTTTCAACTGCCCCTGCCACCTCCATTTCTTGAACCCTACTGGTCCACCAGGCTTCCTTGTCTGCACGTGGGCTCTGCTTTAGTTCACGCCTAATAGTCTGTCTGGTCACACTGTCCTCAGAGCCAGCCGGGAGGTTTCTACTGGATTCCAACAGGTTCACCGACCTCTCGGATATCCAGTGACTGGTGCGGTGACGATGGATAGTGCCACAACCAGATGCTCCTGCGTCATGCATGGCGGCCGAGGTCCTACTCCACTGAAGCTCAGTGTCACTAGGACAAGACAGCGAAAGTTCGGTATGCAGTGTTTCTTGATAGGCTTGACTGACCGAAAGCTGAGACAATTTTTCAGTTGCCAATCGGAGAGGACGCTTAGTGCGCCTCCCGGTAAAGTTCATAGAGAAACGACAGCGTACCAAGGCATGATCAGAGTCGACACAGCTACTCCAGTATGAGCGGCAATCCAGCATGGAACCACGCCATCTGTAACTTATGGCTATGTGGTCAATTTGGGTCCATCGCTGGCCAGCTACAGAAGGACGCCAAGTGGCACTTAGGCACCCACTGTGTCTGAAAGCAGTGCTACTAAGAAACAACTGATGCTCCGCACACAGTTGCAGCAGACGCTCACCGTTGTCAGTCCGTTCGGCGTTAAGTCCATACTTACCACCCAGCTGAGCTTCTGAAGAGCTCAGACGCCCTACTTGTGCGTTCATATCCCCTGCAAGTACTATAATATCTGAACTAGTAGTACTGCGTAGTAGCGCGTTCAGTTCGTGATAGAATGTGTCCTTGACAGCATTAGAACTGCAGTCGGTGGGAGCATAAACGGAAATCACAAACAAACAGCGTTTTGTATTACTTCGTGAACCCACCTTAGCTGATGTCGTCCAACGGGCTACACATAAATGGCTGTTCACCGGAATCCAATCAACCAACGATGGCTCAGCCTTGGATCTTAGAATGATACCTACACCAGCTTGACCCGTGAGCGCTACATCAGTGTCTCCGGCTGCGTGCAACCAATAACGAGAGGAAAAGCTGGGCGCAGTTAATTCAACAACCCCATTAGGGTTACTGATCCTAGTTTCGGACACACAACACACATCAATACCCAGTGTGTCCGAGGTGCGTGCGAATGCAGCCTGTTGACCCGTTTGTCCTAGAGTGCGAACGTTGAATGTCGCCATGGAAACGGGATAGCGTGGTCTTATAAGGGACTTTTGCCGATAGGCGTCCGGTGGGTATCTCGAGAAGATGGCTGCAGATGGTTCTACTCCAGTGGCACTTCTGTTGCTGTCAATTAAGCTGGGAATTACAGAAGGAAGGTTAGTAATGGGGGTCGGGATGAGAGTAAGAGTAAGTCGTTCGTACAGTAAAAACGACCAATTTGTATACGGACTACAGCATGGTGTTAGCGAACACACGTGATTCTTGATGCGCATTAATAGGAATCACCAGGCCGTATTCTCGGGATCAACTCAAATTGACATGCCAAACTGTCGTTAGTGGGCTTCGGTAAAATGGAATGTAGCCTTGGAAGCAGAGAGACAGCAACTGCTGTCGCCCCGCGTTGTGAGCGCTCTAAATGCTTAACCAGACGATCGATCTATTTGGAAAAAATTCGATATAGGATTTTTCGCCCAAGAGCGCCGGCAACGAATACGTCGATCGACTGGAGCATCACTGGATAGTGGTCCTTTGCTCCATCGCTCCTAGGATACCGACGAATACAAGGTTGGGCATGTGCCTGAAAACTGTGGGTAAGGGACTAGCTGTCATTGTGTGGTGAAGTAATTTCTCAGGTTGGAGAGGTGTAGACGGATTGTTCACATGCCCATCTGACCGGTCTTATTCTCTCTAGAGTGACGGAGGAATTTGACACCTATAGTATTAACGGTGAGTGTGATTTAATCCGTGTACAAAACGACCCCTAGGTTTCGAGGACAATAGAAAGCTCGATTTAGGATGCCTGAGGAGTGCTTATCGCATCGCGAGGAACGAACAGACCCAAAACGGTATGGTCCACTTAGTCGGTAGCTTTATTCCGGGCATACAATCGCAAACGGAGAAATCCGATTGCTGCCTAGATAAAGGGAAACCGTAATTTGGACCCCGCCATCACACAGGGGAATGAGTACTCTAAAGAGTCTGAAGATGAAGAAACTGCCACGCATTGTGGTAGTCTTAGGAGATGCACAACATGGATGCACTCTACATGGATTCTGCTTGAAAAGAATTTGCAATGGTAAGGACACATTGTGCAAACCAGCCAGCGGGTTACCAAACGGAATTTGCATGTCCGAACAAGAAGATGTCAGTAATGTAGATGATAGGCCAACCGTTGATGTGGCAACGTGAGCGGGAGGTGGTCCAAGTGAGCAATTCGTTGCGCCGCGAGATGTCACGGTGTCACTACAGCCAACTGGTGGATACCAAACCAGGCTACGCGCACAGAGACGGTGGGAAAATGAAAGGATTTGTTGACGTAAATGCGTTCGGAACCTTAAGGATAATTGCCGAATGGACACTGTACCCAAGTGGTACACGCTACGGACTTGAATGACCGTGTAGTGTGATTGCTATTTTTGCCCCTTATCCCATGCTCTCCAGTCGTAGGGTCAATTAACTAAGGTAGTTGTATGATGATAGTAACTGACCCCATGTTTCGTCCAACTAATGCACAGTGATGATGATGGTTAGATAAAGGACGGGTCGCTTACGAGGGGAGGAAAGTCGTCCAATTCAGATGGCAAAGAAATGAACGCCTTTTCCTCTGATTGTAACATCCACGATCCACTGGTGAGAATCAAGATATTTACGACATCCACGTTAGTTGAAGGTGAAGAGGCGGTAATTCTGGAAACCAACGTTCCATCGACAGGAGCTGCACTGTCACTGATCCGGTATTCCTCCTTAAAGTTTGTGGTCAAATCTTGAGAGATTTTTATATCTTGAAACATACGGGACAGCTTGTTGATATGCTCCGCGGGCATTCCGACGTTCTGTGAGAATGGTAGGAAAATTGTGCACAGCGAGTAACGGATGAGTATTCACCATGTTCAGATGATGGAAAAATTGACAAAGACATGATAAACGCAGTGGAGACCTGAGGTACCTCCTATTTGCAGGGAAATATAACCGGAGTAACCTAGCCAGCACCGATAAAACACCGGTCCCAAAAGGTTCGAGCGAGTGTCAGGTAAGGTAAATACTACAACTACCCAAGTGTAATAAAAAGTTCTGATGAATCGGAAAAGCAATGACAAACCGAATTGAACAGATGTTCGCGCAATTATGGGACCGTGCATCAACATGAATTATAACACAACTACCAGAGGAGGTGAGCGAAGAGCATCTACCGTTCAAAAGATGGATTTCAAAGGGGCTGAGATGATCACGTTTAATGGATGTAAGTTTAATGGAATTCGAAAAAGGTGGATTGCGTCCCGTGTTGGAACCCAACAAGCGACTCCAAACAGAGTACGACTGACAGCAGATCAAGCAATTAACTTCGTGCTCATTTTATCTTACTCCTCCTTTATTTTATCGTCAAAGGGAATAAGCGTAAAATATTGAGGCGCAGCACACAAAAACATGCGGACGAAGAGAGTGTGTGGTCATTAGGACGAGTCTGACAAAAAAGATTTCCGGATACAAATGTTAAGATGAAAAAATAACATTTTCACCAACAATTTCACGGGAAACAGTTGCTTCAAATACAATTGAATAACAAGGGGTCAGAAAATGTTCAAACGGAGAGAATAGCCACCAAGAGCAGAAACACATCGATCGAGAGAAGTCATGATGCTTAAGCCGAACTGATAATGACTGAAACATATGCGAATGTATTAGGTTCTTAAAAAAGTAACAGCGGTTCGTTATTATGTGTGGTATTCACGTACCACGCCAGCAACTTCCTACCACGTGGGAGCAAAAGAAACATTGAACAATGAATTTATACGGTTAAGGAGCATTGTTTTACAAGTCCCGTTGGATAGTTGGTGGGGATATCGAAATAACAATAAGCATAATAATGATAGTAAAAAGTTAGTACTTTAAATAGGAAAATAAGAGCTTACCGTTTGCTCCGCTGTAGTCCTGCAATCCGCATAGATTCACAGCACCCACAGCTAACATCAAATAACCCCATGGTGGAATCCAGGAGTAGGATTGAGACATAGCGCTAAGTGACAGTGTAAGTGGATGAGTATTTCATCCAACCGTCTGGTACTGTTAATGTCGGTGCAGAGACGACCGATTCAGGGAGAGTATTCCACGGGTGACAGACACGAATGGAAAAGAAATTTCTGAGGATATGTGCTATTGGTGGCGCAATGCACTAGTGGATCAGTGACTTCCTTCTTGGGAGAAGATGGCGGGTTCAGTACTGGGGCGCATTTTATTCCTGATCCACATCAAGGAAGTAGCTCAGCTTCTTCGGTCGCCCTGCACATTATTTGCGGATGACCTAATGGTTTAGAGGATTATTAATTCTCCCGGCGACTGTGATGTCCTTCAGCAGGACCTCGACCACCTATCCCAGTGGTCTGCAGAAGTTGACCTACTGGTCAACACAGCCAAGTTCTCGTTTATGAGCCTGGGGAGAGGTAGTAATGGGCGTGCGTACATTTTGGCTGACCACCCGCTGCATCGCACCAGTTTCGTAAATGATCTAGACATACTCTCGCGCTGTGATCTGAAGTCGGTCGACAACACGAACAGACTGTACGCCAACGGACTACGCCTGCTTTAGGCACTTAGACGCAGCTTCTGCACTTAGTCTGAAGAGATGGCCATCCGTCTGTTCTCTTCCATAACAAGACCGGTACTTGAGTACGGCTCACCTGGCTATTGCCCGATCACAATAGATGAGGTGCAGAGACTGGAACGGGTCCAACATGTAGCTACCCGGCTCCTCCCCAGTTTACGGGGTATGTCGTACGACGAACGATGTAGGAGACAAGAGCTTAGTACCGGGTCATATCGTCGGCTTCGAGTTGATCTCATTATGACGCACAGGAGACTGCACCTAGGCCACTTCTCTAGGTTGGAGCCGCTGCTGCACGTTCGCGCACCTAGCAGCAAACGCAGACACCGGTATAAACTAGTGGTACCGGATTTAAAACACATCGCTCACCCTCTATGCTTCGAGTGGTGAAATATTGGAACAAATTGCCGGAGACGCTAGTCGAGACGAAATCGGTGTTGGAATTTAAGAAATTTTTTGACGTCCATTTTGAGGACTACAGGTATAAGGAACGTATCGCACCTGGATAAGATGTAGTGCAGCTGTAAAATGCTGCTAGCGCGCAGGATTCAGCGACGTGATTCCGCGCACGTGCCCGATCCACCTACGATGGAATAACACAGATTTTTATTTTCTCGCTCCCTACTCTCAATATTCAGTATACTCTAAACAGCTATGCTTTTCTGTTAGTTTTAATGAGTGACCCCTCAGGTTTGTATTGTTGCTGAGTTGCAGTAAAGGACGGCACACATGATGTGGGTCCTGCACAATTAAGTATGCCATAAGCAGGTCGCCTCGTAATCTGCGATAGCGTCCGCTGAATACCCCCAATCGTTTCAGCATCCCCTCGTATGAAAGATTGCGCATTCCAATTACGTTCTTAGATGCCCAACGTTGAGGCTGCCCCAGTGCATTAACGTCGTGTTTCAACCATGGATGCCAGACTTGATTTGCGTATTCGACATGGGGGTGAACATACGCACTGGGCATTTGGCGAAATATGGAGCTGTTTATTTGACCAAACGCTCGTCGCAAAAGCCCGAAGTGTTGGTTTCCAGTCTTCGAGGCCTTTTCGGATTACCTAGAACAACCCAGGTCATCATAAACCAGCATACCCAAATCACGTTCGACAGTTGGTTGTTGCCAATACATTCGTTCCGAGCCGGTATGAGTAGCCGCTCTGATGTCGGATGGAAAGTACTTGCATTTACGTTGAAATGTAGTGAATTTTAGGCTGATCATTGATATACCGTGTCTAGAGCACTCTGAAGCAGCTGCTGGTCGGCGTTCACCTGAATCCTGTGCCAAATCTAGGTATCGTCGCCGGCTGTTAACAAGGATAGTTGAGCACTTTCTCGGGTCCCTACGAAAGTGCACTGCCGGAAGTATAAGAAGTTCCATCCTTGAACATCTGGTTCAAAGAAAACACGCAATTCTGACCAATAATGCTTTCAAGGTTTGCACCGGTGCTTCAAGTGGAACGGCGACTTAATTCAGCATGAACATCAACAACAGCGCATAGATATTTTATATTACTGCTAGAATCCGAGTAGCTCGCAAACAATCGACTGTATAACTTCACCAGCATAACCCCCTCGGGTTTAATGCGGGTTTCTGTCATTCTTTACCACGCTCCGACGCACTGCTGGAAGCATTCTTCCACGATGCTCCTTAATATCAGCGTCGCTTAGAGCAATATCAATTGAGTATGAGGGCTGTTCTATTATAGTAATTTTTTCTCGGTCAGGAATCTCCGGGTGCCCGGAGCGTTATGAGCAGGAGTATAGTCATGAAGAAGCATCCACGATTTGCTGTCATAGTTATCGTCAGTTAAAGCGCACCCAGCGAAGCAATCGTTTCAATACTAATGCAACAATAATTGGCATAAGTGCGACATAGTCAATAATCAGGTTTGAAGTGCATGTGACCCAGGTGCAGTAAACGAAAGTTCATAAGCTAATACGAAAAAGGAAATAACGCAGTGCCAAACATATCTGGCGACAATTAACATGTACCCAACATTTACAGATCACACAGTGAAGCTAGGGAGGGAATATTAACAGTCACTTCACAGTGGGAAATGAAGGGCCAGGTATCAAGGGGAGGAGTCTGCTGCTACAAAACGAACAAATTTGTGGTTTAACCGAGCGATCCATCTGTGCCTTTCACGGATGGGCGTGTAAAGTTTAATGCAATATCAGTAAACAATGCCGACTTTAATCTAATTATCCTTAAGACGGACAACGCGTCCCGCAAAGTTGGCTTGTTACGGTGTTGACGACACCTAAGGAAAAGGTATACCTCGACCTCCCATTGAAGGGTAACCCCGCTTCAACGAGGGCAACCAAGCGCTTCCTCTACGTCACTCAGATAATGTAATGTGTTACAGATGCTGTGTTGATAAACAGCATAGGAAGTTGAACCTATCAGCGCCAAATCACACAATACTCACTAATCCGACTATCCCTGCTGCGTTAGTTAGATAAGCAAGAATGACGGGGGGTTTTGAATTCCAGAGTGAATGAACCCCGGACCAAATGGGTTCAAGGTGAGGTCAGCCATTTCGCGTCCAATATTCCGTGTGCACGCAAACGTGAACATGTTTTATTGATCCCTTATCTGCTTGACACCGGCTCCGCATTTCGGCTGCTATTACGTAATCCTAATCCACGCTTATTACGGTTCGCGTAAGCCGTGACGACAAGCCAGCTAAGACCTGCCCTGTGAGTGCAGAAACAGTCAGTTTTTGATCTACGAATACCCCGGTCCTAGGACGATTGCCGCCGTTCATCTCACAGCATTTCACTGATTGGGAACACCCTTGGGACTGTATAAGATAATTACTACTCATTGTATTGGTACTGATGAGACAATACGAAATGCGTGCATTTATCAGTGATCGTCTCCTCATTGTGTTATTCAAACTATTGGAGGGAAATAACTGTTGCAAAAAACAGTATATTTCTCGGCGGTGCGCGAGACTGTGACGGCATAGAGACAAAGCAATACTGACATGAATTCCCTGAGGCCGGTCACACATGCAATTATAGTGTCCCACTGACGCAAACCGAACTTTGGCGAAGTATGTGAATGGATGATGTGTACCCGTTCACACGGGAGTTATACTGTGCGGCCAAATTCAGCAACACGTAATGCCCCAGTTAAAACGCTCGCATGTGTTCACCTGTGGCCATGGTACGCTATGCTACGTAAGGACAGGCTCTCAGGGCTTGTAGCAAGTGTCCATCCAGTTGC